ACCTGCATCAATGACCAGGCTGAGGGCAGGAGGGGAGTGTGCGTTTTGTTGGTTTTTTTCCTTAAAAGTTATTTCTAACCTGCTAAATAGCAACACATGAGTTTTATAAAAAACCCAAACACAGTAATCATAGATCTTTATTAGATCAAGGCCTTGGGAATCCATTCTGTTGAGCTACCTGTGTGCATATGGCAATGTGTTCAAATCTTTCAATGTCTTTCTCTTAGTTTCGCTTTTTGCTGATGCTTCTGTTTAGTTTAACAAAGCTGTATGTGCTTATTAAATTAGTTTTGTTTTTATAACCTAGTTTAATTTTGCTTTTTTAAAATTCTGTGAGTAAAAGAATGAAAGTGAAAGAGTTTATAAGATGTGTTCAGCCCCCTTGTTAACACTAATGCTTTAATGCTTGAGGAAATAATTTTCTCTAATGTTGGAGGAGTAAGGGAAGATTATGGTTAGAGGTTGATTCCACATGTGGTTAAAGTACTCTACAATTTTTCATTTTTTTTATATGATTTTGTTCATCATGTTTGCAATGGGGAAGTACAAGGGTGCTTTTATTTGGTTTTTAGCAGTTCCGCAGAATAGAATTTAAAACAGAAGTGCTGTTGCTGTGGGCTGGCCTGTAAACCTGAATTGTAAACCTTCTGTACAGCACTTGTGATGGAAAGTGGCAGTCAAGTGGCATGAATCCATTTTGTTCATAATGCTTACTCTAGACAAATTATAATAAGCGCAGAATAATATAGAAAAGTGGTAGAAAATTCCTGGTACTGTACATCCAATTTAGGTAGAGGATCCATTTGATAGCTTTGCAGGGAAGGCAAATGAATATAACAAATACGTAATAATTTTTTAGGCTTAGGATTGCAAATTTGTATGTTGTAACAGGCACAGAATCATAGGCTGGGAAAGACCTTTAAGATGATCAGTTCCAGCCATTGATCAAATGCTGCCAAGTCCACCACTAAACCATGTCCTTAATTACCACATCTACACATCTTTTAAGTACCTGCAGGGATGGTGATTCAATTACTTCCCTGGGCAGCCTGTTTCAGTGCTTGAAAGCCCTTTTGGTGATGAAATTTTTCCTGATATCCAGCCTAAATGTTACATTTTGTTAAACTTTGCGGAGAAAGAAAATTTGGAAGTTCAAGCTATATGTGAAAGGAAAATAATTCATATTTTACTTGAGGAGGGGAAAAAGATAATAGTGTTGCCATCAGTCAAAGCAGAATCATCCATTGTTTGCTTCTTTTTGTAGTGTTCAGAAAAACATATGGCGCTAAAATGTAAGAATAGCTTGAAAGACAAACCTTTCAGAAGGTTGTTGACTTTTGTTTGATGTCACAGTCTTCTCTCTTTCTCCCTCCCATGCAAATTCTATTCTTAGCAAATCAAAATGCATTATCTGTGCATGCAAGTGCTTACTGCATTTGGGGACCATTTGGGGCATGATGACTTCTCATACACAGAAAATTTAACAGAAGTTAAATTTTCTCTTACTGAGCTTTTTGTGAACTTTAATGGACAAACTAGCTTCCTTAACTTTAAATGTTTCTGGAGATCTTTGCAAAGTTTAAGAAGTGTGAATAAATAGTAAAATGCTATATTCTGCATCATTAGGGCATTTGTAAAGACCTAATGAAGTCCTGATTCTGTAAGCATTCAGATACTTGCTTAGGTTGACTTACCTGAGGGTTGGTCCTGTGCAAGTATTTGCAGAGCCTAGACCTTGGCTTTCTAACTAAAAAAAGAGGAGTGTATAGGGGGAAAAAAAAGTTTATTCAAAACATATCCCAAAGATATGTTGCTTGTGAGGTGGCAAGAACCATGAGGAAACCTTTGTACATCAAGAGTGTCTGTGAAGAAACAGAGGTGTGTTTGGACTTAGACCATACTATTTGCATAAGCAAAGTGCTTGTGGGAGTGCGTCCTGAAGCATGAAGGATGTAACTTTGATTTCACTGTTTGACTTCCCACAGAATAACTTTTGTAATGGAATTAGCTTTGCAACCCTGTTGTTTATTCGTCACATGGACCATTTAGGACAACAGAGAACAGTTCTAGTTATGCCAGTTGTGCTCGAACAGGAAAAAAAAATGCTGGCTTTGAATCCTTCGTGCCTTCTGTTTTAATTCTGAAGATGCATTAATTGTGTGTGTAAATAAGCATCACTGAATTTTGTTTGAGTGATAAAGAGCAAATTTTCTCCATTGAGGACTTTGTAACATTGTAACAATGAACTGGTATATTTATGCAACAGTGTTCAGATGAGCCCGTGTAAGGTGGCAGTAAACCTGGCTTAAAGGCAGTGGTGTTTTTTCCTCATGGTTTGAGAAAAATAATGTTTTTGAAAAGAATAGGCTGAGTTCTCAAGTCAAGCCAGGCACCTTGAGATAAAGTAGTAGAAAGTACTGTTAACTCGGATTAGCAGTTTGAGTGGATAATATGTGGGAACCTCAGCTTCAGACAAGACTGAAGGCCTGTGGCATGAGTGGCAGCAGTGAAATTCCAGTTTGCTGAACCCCCACCCCATTTTTTAGGTTGAAAGTATTGCCTGCTATAAACTGTATTCCTTGATGGACTGGTTTCCTCAAGCTTGATGTATTGTTTAACACTGGAGACTCGTGTGTGCGTGCTCGTCAGAGGGGTGGCAGTGGAGTTATGGTGGAAGATAACAGCGATGCAAAGACAAACTGGAGAAACTGTCTGGTCTGTACCTGTATACTTGTTTGAAAGGAGCATGTGCTGTCTGCAGAAGAGTTCATCCTGCTTATCTGTTCATAGCACTTCAGTCTGCAGAAGTTTTGGCCATAGATTGGGTAGCTAAGATTAGGAAAAAAACATGCTGAGAGTCAGATCTTAAGTAGTTTTCAAACAGAACCACGGGATTATAGTTTCTTTAAGAGCCTGATAGATACTTTAACCTGAACTCATCTCTTGAGTGCTTTTACAGAACACATTTTTCCCTTAAAGTCCATGTGCAATATTAGCATAATTAAGTGTGGAGATCCTTTTCACTACTCTTGAGTAGGTTTTAAATTGGGTTAATATTAAATTCTCTAGTATAAGTAATCTTTTGTAAGGGAAGGAGCAGGTATTTTATTTCACTTTTTAAAAATGTTCATCAAGATTTTTTGTTTATCACTTATCAGCAAACAAGGCAAGTAATAGGTAGGATCTTGTGTCTACCTGGGAGATACTTAAGCCATAGGATTTAGGGAAGTATTTATTAAACTTATGCTGTGGTACCTCTCAAGTAGTCTTTTTTAGGAAATTTTGAGTCCATTTTCATTGGAAAGGGGACTAAGATTCTAGAAAGTTCTTTTTTAGCATTTTGATGTATTGACTTTGTGATTTGAAATTAGGTCAATCTGGAATAAATGTATTTGACATTGTATAATTGTCTTGCTAAATGCACAGAATAATTCTTCTTGTCACCTTCTGTGTGATACAGGTGATACTGGCCAAGGAGCAAGAGCATGGATAAAACAAATTTTGAATCAAGACATGGCTTTCCAACATATAAAAGTAATTTACCCAACGGCTCCTGCCAGGTATCGTTTAACATATTATTACTGTAGGATTAAATTACGCTGTTCCTCTACTGTAAAATACGCTTCTGAATATTGGTACAGACTATTGTAACACTTCCTTCTTCTCTTTCATATGTTTGTTGGCAAAACTGGAGCTCAACAGTGCATTGTTGTCCAGCAACTGCGATTTTAGTGGTTAAGTCTCTAAATGGATAAGACTTTACAAAAGTCACAGCCTCTAGTTGAAACTCAGGTGTTGTCCTCATAGTATCTTTCCATCTCTTTGATATAGACAATGATGTTCCGATGTGTGTTGTAGTGCCATTGTAGAGCTATGTTCTGAATCCCAATCCTCCCGTATTAACTCCCATCTATTAACCCTTAAAATATTCTGTTGTATTTAATGCCAGGTTGACTGGTCTGTTTGATTAGTAGGATTTGACAGATCTTCAGCAGCTGGAGAAAGGAGTCAGAATTTGAAAACACACGTTGCTTCTCATTTGAATCCTCATCCAACAATTTCAAAGAGAATTGGGTTCAACATTTGCTTTAAGCAAGAATCTCGTTGTTAAATGACACTGTGTGTTCGGTGGTAGACTGGAAATACAGATAAAAAAATTTGCCTGCAGGCATTTGAAAGTTTATGAGGTCAAACCTAAAGGCTAAAAGTTGGGTACCTACCTCCATATTTAGCCATCCAAAAGATAATATTAAATATATAATACATAATTATAATATTATATATGTAACATATATTAAATATATAGTATTAAATTTCAGAATTGCTTAATTTTTCATAATATAAAATCATTTTTAAGGTGTCTGTGACTCTAAGTTAGGAAAATGTTTCCTTAAAGGGTAATAGGGCTTGAGTTTCTTTCTGAATTTGTGCATAAGTGTGGATGAATACTGAACGGAAAAGGAAATTGTAACAGTCTACACAGACTTTCGAGGTACAGAGGTTTGAAAGTTAGAAAAAAAATTCTTGGAGGGTATGAACAAGTATAATAGCAGATTTTGTCTGGCACTCGCTAATACGTGAAAAAAACCCCCTTTCCTTGACCATGTATTTTTTATGGTCCGCTTAGGCAGGAAAAAGCAACTGAGAGATTGCAATGTGAATGTACTCACTGTGTTACAGAAAAATCAAGACCGTGAGTGGAAGTCTTTGAAGCAGTGTGTTTTGGGTTAGTAGGAAGTGAACACGATTTTCTGTAAATAATGTGCTCATTACTTCATTGATGGCAGGCTGAAGTGATGCCAGAGTTATAAGTGGCACATCACACATGCTGATGGGCTCCATACCTTCCCTATCAACACAGCAGGTACTGGAGAAATGCAGGAGATTTTGCTTTTCTGTGAAATGATTTTTCTTTGCATGTTACATGCAGCCGGGGCACCTCAGATTGCATCTGTTGGGCCACTGCTTTGCTTTTCCATCCCACAGCACTTCTGAGGTCAATCCTTTTCTCATTTTTTCTGGTTTCTTTGGGTAACTATGGATGTAAACTATGTATAAATGATTAACCAGCAAGATCTTCTGACTCAAGGGAATTTTTTTTTATCTGAAGACTTTAGATTTCAGGACTTTGGTAAACAGATGGGAAGAAAGGCACTGTTGTAATTAAAAGATGTGAATAAACAGTTTATTTCACTCTCTTTTCTTTTTTAAGTTGAGGTTGCTCTTGTTCCTGTCTACAACAGATGGAAGTCACATGTGAGTTGATTCAGAAGCGTCTTTTAGCAAAACTGTAAAAAGGTGTATGTTCAACAAATATAAAACACACTGTGACTGGCAATATGAAGTACACTTGTGCACAGCCTTCTGTTGCTGATAGGCAGCATTATCTGACACAGTGAAATAAAGCAGGTGCTCTTAAGTACAGTAATGTTTGCCACTGTTTGCAGCAATGCTGAAGTGAAATTTGTGATGATACATGTTACTGTTTGAAAACAGAAATAACAGGAGCCTTTACAGTTGTTTAGTGTTCAAGAACAAATTACACTATGCTTTTTGAAATGGTTTTGTAATAGATGCTCTCCGTTCTCTCAGAGAAAATAAAAGCAAGGCCTAGAATATCCACACCTGGATGGCAGACATTAAAATAATTATATCTGCATTAGGAGCTTGAATATATATGGTGATTTTATGTGTGTGTATATATTTATATGTTTTGATAAGAATTCAAAATGTTTCTACCACCAGTGGGGGAATTCAGAATCCTTGATAATGAGACCTATAGCCAGACAGTTGTGGGCATGCAGATATGCTGAAGAAGATTCTGATCCAAATTCTTTGATCATGTAGAGAAAGAAGGATGTGCTGGCAAAAGTTAAGCTGATGTGAGAGAGCCTCTGTGGGTCTCTATAACTTGCCACTGTGCTGTCAGGTTATAGGGGCAAAGTGCAAAACTTGGCCGCAGGGTCTTCAAAGAAAAGCTTGAAGTTTGGCAAGACCGGATTAGGATTGCTTGGCTAATGTGCTTCTCTGGCAAAATCCTGTTAATGTGGATGTACTTCATGCTCTATAAACTCTTGTCTTTCCCAGCATAACTTAGCACATACACATTGAACGTTCTCTGTCAGTTTTGCCAGTAAAAGCAGGTTTGATGATATAACCGCAAAGCTTGGGGCTTTGGCAGGATAAACTGCAGGTCAGGAATACCTCTTCACATTTCTGATGGATATTATTCTGCTGCTAGATCTATAGATATGATCTTACACATTCTTCACCTCTATTAGACAGAGTTCTGAAAAGCAGCGGAATTCACATTTTTCAAGAAAACATTGAATTCTTTTTTTCTTTGTGGGGGATCGATGTGGTTTATATTTATGTTTTATTTAGATTTTATCCCCGGCACTGAAACATGCATATTTTTGATTTGTACAGCATCAGAGATTCAGACATATTTTGATTCAAGACTCAGTATATTTGAAAGTTATTTTGGAAAACCAGTCCAACATATAATCGAGAAGAATTCTGAAATACGTCCTTTGGCTTCACTAGCATTGATGTCGGCAAACACTAGAGAGGATTATAGGTAAAAGCAATAGAACATTACAGGACTACATTTTATAAAACTGTTTTTAACTGTTGTCTATAGATCTCAGTAAAAAGTCACACATTTTTTAAGAAGACATTTACTTTAATCATTTTTATAATGTGCAGGGTCTGTATAGAGAATGATCACTGGATATGCCCTGGACAGGTAAAGTGTTTGCAGCATTTTGTCTCACTCATCCCCCGTCACTTTGGAAACTGCGATGAGTCTCATATTTGTTTGCTTCTTGAGCAAAAATAGAAGAATGTAGATAGTTAATTTTACTATTAAAGAAGAAAGTCCTGCAAAAATACTAAGTAAAATGCATATGGTAAAAAGCATACTTAGATAAAAATGGGAAAAATATGTGGATTTGAAGCCTCAGTGTGATGTAATGAGAGTAATGACACCTGAATTTTGAATATGTTTGTAAATTAAATGCATGTACCTGGGGCATGCAAATTTTGCTTTACGAATTAAAAGTTTTATACATTGCTTTAAGGTTCTGGTTTTTTTTCTCTATAAAGTAGTCTACTGGGATACTTAAAAATTAGTAGAGAACTTGTTTTAACTGTTTGATTTAGCTTTCTTTCAAGATCAGTGCTTCTGTACATAGATTAAACTTGTTAAACACAACAGAATTCTATATTTTCTCCATTGTAATGCTAATATACATCTTTAAAAAAACCAAACTCCAGTTGTAGCCCTAGCAGCTGATGCAATCCCTAAAGCCACGTCTACACTAATAGTTTTAAAGGAAAGGGTTTCCTTTTTCCTTTTTTATTTGGGTCAGGGTGGCTACAACTGAAATACTGTTTCAGCTGCTACAACTGTGACTTAAACGTTAGGTTTCTATTGAGTTTCTAAATCAGAACTGAATACCACCCAATTTAACCTTTTTTTTTTAATAGAAAGTGATAGTTTAAATTGGCATTGCAGGAGCTAACGTGGTAAATTTAAAACCATTTAGGCTCCACTTGTTTTAATATATATACCTTACCTTCTTTAATTCCCTGAAAAAATCTAGGCCAAAGATTCTTTGTGTTGTCTTGCATTCCGTTCTGACAGTCCTTCTCTTTTGCAAGTCAGAAAATAAACTATAAATACTGCTTTGCCTATTTTATGGATCTTTTTGACATTCACTCAACAAACCTTTCTGTGGCACATAATTCTCTGTGCAGAGCTTGTTGTCTGGTTGGGTTTTTTTCCCCCAATTTGTTCTAACTTCCCATATCTTTATGTGGCTGATAAGGACTACTCAGCATTATATGGCATAGTACTCCATCCTTTCACCTAAGTTCACATCTTTGCTCAGCTCATGGTGGAAATGAGTTTCATCTCATCACAGTCCCCATTTGGCTGTATCGCAAAACCACCAGACAGTTTGGCACCATCCAGCTCCATTGGCAGTCTCTGCCTGTGAGAGGCCTAGGACTGGAAAAGCAGCAGGGGTGTACTGCAGGTCGGACTTGAGATGGATTGGCGGAGCTGTGGAGGGGAGTGTGCACAGTGCCTATCATACTGTTTTTGGCTCAAGCAAATGTTATTAATCCTTGACTTTTGTAAGCCCTAACCTCATTCATAAATTTAACACAAAGAAGTCTTTTTAAAGGTGGAAACTTAAGGGAGAAATGGAAAAGGTTTGGGTTGGTGTCATGGGGTGGTTCTTTCATCTCCTTTAAGTAGAAATTTAACATGTTCTGCATAATAATGCTGGAAGCATGCTTAGATAAACTTTGTATTTTCCTTTTTATTTCTGCTCTTGAATTAGGTGAAGAAAACTTAACAAATATGTGTACATCTAATGCTTACATCAGATGCTAAATATCATGTGGAATGCAGATACTGTAGTCATGCTTGGGGAAAACAAATTAGAACATGATGGAAATAATCTTGGATTTCTAATCCCTTTAACTACATTGTGCTCTTAGGCATTCTTCCTCTTGTTTTGATTCTCTCAACGCTTTTCCTATACAGAAGAACTGGAGACAGAGGTTTTTATATCACCCTTCTAGCGAGCAGTTGTGGGTTTGTAAATTATGTGTCATTCTTGCTCTTGCTTTATAGTCTTTTCAAGGGTTTCTGTGCTTAACTAGTGTCATTCATCCATCCTTGGTGGTGTTTGCCACCAGCTTGTGAAAGATATCACTTTGAATCCCAGAGTGTCTTTCAGACTCCACAATGGAGAACTGATGCAGATTGGGCCCTGGTTTCCCTTTTGCCACTTTCTTTCTGTGAATTTATAAAGCAGGCAATATTTGTTGGTTACTGAGGAACTGGCAGTGTGTATGAAAAGTCTTTTATGGCCTTTTCAACCATAACATTGTTGCTGTTTTCTGATTAGTACAAATCCCCATAATTTACGCCACCCACTCGAAAAAAAAACCAATCCAGCAAACCAGTAGAAACAAAGAAACAGAGACAAACTCTTAATTTCTCCCACTGAGTTTTATGCCAGCTTCTATTGTGGCTTCCTTTGTCTTAAATGATTAAGATTTGTCTCAAGTAACAAAAGCTGTCAGCGTAGTATTTCTTCAGGTAACCATTATGTACTGGTTCAGTCAGCTCTCATTTCAGGCAGTATACGTCCAGAACAACTCTATCAAAAACATTTGCATGTGGTTGAGTGAACAGGCACAGCCTTTACTGAAGAACAGCCAAAATTAGTCCTCATGGAGATGACTCTTGTCTTACCTTTTGCAATTTATTTTTTTTAAAGTATAGCTCCAAGTCGAAACTGTTTGAATTTTGGACATGTCTTATGCTCTGTTTCCATACCACAAGGCTTCATTGTTAAGATATGTTAAACCTCAGTTTTAACATAAGATATACCTTGGACTAGAGATTTGATTTATACTTCTCATTTGACTAGCTGGATTCTCTGCTTTCTTCCCCATTTCTTTTCAAATTTGCTTTCTGCTTCAAGAAGACAGTGGGAATTAAAAAACAGAATTATGTACTAAATTTTCTATTATGATGTGGTATTGAAATTCAGCAGTGAGATTATGCTATGAGAGAATTTGGGACTAGGGAGTAACCTTGCTTTCATTTGAAAAACCTGCCATCACTTTTAAGAGAGTCAAGACTTACTTCTAGAATCAGTCAATATTTTGGGTTGAAAGGGATCTTTAAAGGTCACCTAGTCAAATACCCCTGCAATGAGCAGGGACGTCTTCAACTAGATCAGGTTGCTTGGAATCCCATCCAGCCTGACCTTGAATGTTTCTAGGGATGGGGCATCTGCCACCTCTCTGGGCAGCCTGTGCTGGTATTTCAGCAGCCTCATTGTAAATAAAGTCTTCCTCATATCTAGTCTAAATGTACCTCCACTTAGTTTAAAATCATTCCCATTGTTCTATCACAACACTAAGAGGATTGTTCCCATCTTGCTTTTAGGCCCCTTTAAGTACTGGAAGACTTCACTAAGTTCGCTCTGGAGCCTCTCTTCTCCAGACTGAACAAATCCAACTCTCTCGCCTTTCTGCATGGGAGAGATGCTCTATCCCTCTGATCATTTTTGTGACCCTCCTCTGGACTTGCTTCAACAGATCCATATCTTTCCTGTTCTGAGGGTTCCATAACTGGATGCAGTACTCCAGGTGGAGTCTCATCAGAGCAGAGTTAAGTAGAACCTAGACAGTGTGGTAGTGTGCTCTATAGATTTTCTTGAAGGGGTGCGCAGTCTTCCAAAAGACAACATTACAATGTCTCTCTGCCTCCCAACTGAGAGAAGATGAGTTTGAGAAGGAAGAAAAATTGAGGATTTTATTAGTTTTGATCTTTCTCTGTCCTTATTTGAATCTCGAAGCCTAACTTCACTATAAATTTCCAGTTCTGTCTGACATTTCAGGAAGTTCTGTCTGGAACCCTGAAAGCCAGCACCAGTGGTCTGGGTTTTATGTGACTGCTAATGCAGAGTGATCGTAGCACTGAGCGTGAGGGCAATGATAAAATTGTGCATCAGGAGAAAGAGTCGGGGGAAGAATATTTACTATTTATCAACGTGCTGTCTGCTACTCTTATATTTCTTATTTAAAGCAGCTAGCACTGCTGGCTTGTCTTTTAACTTAATATGTTGGACAGGCACAGTGACTTACTGGATAATGAACAAAAACACCTGTAGCTGTATGTGAATCACTTTGCTAATAGCCTCATTTTGGAGATAGAATTTGCCATCGGTTTAGATCTGAATTTGAACCCCATGTAGCATCATTTGGTTGCTCTCCACTTCTTTTAACTTAGGATAATTTCAGACTAGTTAGCACGTTTCTAAATGTGATTAAGCAGGTCTAGAGTTCATGCTTCAGGAAGGTGGAAAAACATGGTGTTACTGCTGCCTACTTTATATTTTCCTCATTACTACAGAACTCACATTAGCAGAAGCTAACTGAAATTACATGTATTGCTTTGAAACTTTGAAGTCAAATCAACAGTCAAAATTACTTCCATTTGAATACATATTTGAAAAAGACTGAAAGGATGATAAGTACTTTCAGAGATAGTATAGGATATATTTTGCTTTTAAGATGTTGAAGTATTGTGTAGGATCTTCTTGAAATCGCAGTGTCATGCAAGAGGTGTACATGTGAGAAAACAATACTAGATCAATGGACGCCCTTAAAAATAAGACCTATAAAGTAGTCAGAAAACATGATCTAGAGTGATTTGAGGATATTGGGAAGCATTAAAAAGACTCTAATCCTAATAGTGCCTGCAGTTTCTTAAATGATGTTTGATACTAGCCATGTTTCCTTTACGTCATCTTTCCTCCTTACTTTTAAATGTTAAGAGATAAGTTCATATGAACTTTTCCTTCAGTTGTCTCTTAAAAATTGGTACAAGTTTGGAAGCTGGATATACCCAGAGAGGGTTCTTGATTCTTGTTTTCTTATATGGATTTGAATCTTTCATGTGCTCCAGAACCAAATAAATTAAAAAAAAGAAGGCTTAGGGGACTATATATTTTCATTACCAGTTTCAACAGCACACAGTTTTAGAGACACAGAGCTTTATTTTTAGTATAATTTTTAGGAGAGGATAAAGAAAGTGAGGCACAAGGGGAGTAATGTTATGAGTTGCGATTAAACTTAAGAAAGCAAAAAAATCCAAACTTAAAGTACACAATTTGTTCTGTCACTGTCCTTAACTGACCACATTGATCTTATCAGATGGAGTTTTCACTCACTCTGTATTTCTTTCCTTTTGCATATTTCAATCCAGCTTCTCGTGTCACTGTAACATAGGGATTTTTTTTTTTTTTTGTGGTTTAATTGTATGAAAAAATTTGGTGCTGTATTCTTGGAGCTATACAGATGGTTCCATGCCAAACATATTTGTTTACCGTGGTAATGTCTGAGTTGTAGTGTGCCAGCTAATAAAGGGATTATTTAAGGAACAAGGTGAATGACTAAAACAGATGTGCCAGTTGGGTGAACCATTAAAAGAATCTTACTTCTCAGCTTTATGTAAAGGTTATTTTTAAGGCATTTCTGAGAAATCAAGAGTGGTTGCAAGGATGTTTTTGAGGCAGCTGAAAATCACTTGCCTGTTTGCTTGGGGGTCTTTTCCTGTGGGCTTAAAGCACATTAGTCTTTCAGCTGTCTTACTGAAGAATTTACAAAGACAGCAGGTAGAAGTCCTGAGTTTCGTCTTCTCATAAAGTATAACAATCTCATAGTGCAATTTGTCCTGTTTATAAATGGCATGATTTTGTCTTTTAGTTGTGGGGAAACCTGCTTTAATATTTTTTTAATGTAAAAGTAAATAGCTGTAATGCAATACATATATATATCTTTGTTCCATGGAAATCTTGGGTCAGTCTGCTGTAATAATACTAAAACCTTTCACATCTTTCCTCAAAAAAGTATTAGGTACTCTGACTTTACCAGAAAATGAAGCCCTTTGGCTGCTAAGCATTTAACCAGGATTGATGTACAAGTGTTTTAGAGAGAACCATGAATCAAATGCTGTTTGCCCAGGCATTTAGTCTGCTGTACATCACATTGACCAAGTGACTTCCAGAAACTCGAGTGATTCAGTTCTTGATAGGTTTGACTGAAATGTCTCCTTATAGAAATTGACTTTTGTGAATTAGAGATTTGTAATCTTGTTTCTTAGATGTTGAAAAATTCATTTGGCAAGAATCCTGGAGACAAGATTCTAAAGAGAATAATAAAAAAAAAAGGCAAAAGCATTTGAATAATATTTTTTAAACTTAGCCTTAGCTTACTGGGTGTACAAAATATTTCCACTGAATTTCCTTTAATTTAGGTGGTTAAGTATATGATTTGTTTTGAATTAAGCAAATGAGGGGTTATTTAAGGCACACTCTGTACTAAACTTGACCATATATTGTATGCCATTTTGAATAACAGTACATTTCAGATACTTGGTCCCGAAGCTCTGCTCAGAAAGATGAAACTGTAGAAACTTTGTTGCCTCTTTCAATATATTTGTCTTACCAACTTTAAAGTCATGGACATTTTTTTTCATGTTCATTGCAACAGACAGAAGAAAATTTATGTTCTCTCATGTTTTACTTTTAAGACTAAATAATGAAATATCTTGAACTCTCATCTTCATGGCAGTACTGCTTTAGAAATAGCTGGTTACTATGTGAAGCCTCTCTGGTATTAATAAAGGCAGAATTTGTTCCTTCATTAAGAATAATTGAAATAATGTCATTCTCTTTTTAGGTTAGTTGTGTTTTGGTTCAATGCTAGTACTGAAAAACATCCAGGGAGAGCACAGAAGTGAACTTTAGCATTTTCAGTGTGTTCCCATCCAGACATTTATCAAAGGCTGTCTATTTGTGGATGACAATTGTAATCTGATCTGAGCTTAAGTAAAATGAAGAATTTGCCCCCTGATTAAGCATAGCAAATAAGGATTTCAAGTGGCTTTGTTTGAGGTGAAGGATCAATCTCCTAGCAGTATGTTTTGCAATATATTGTAGAGCCATTGCAAGGCAATTAGATCACCTTCCTTGGGATTTCAGGGCTCTATTAATAATTTTTATTTAAAAACAGAAAAGGCTGCTTTGTATTGTAGGTTTCTTGATTATCTGAGGTTTGGGCAGCATGTTGAAGCACTTAAAAATACTAATCTGACAGCACAGTATTATGGTGCAGAATATCATGTCTCTTGTTCGTGATTGTGTACCAGTCCAGTGAACACAGGGCATTTCTTTCAGTAATTTTTATAAGGTACCTGCCCCATTAAAATGAGGATGGCTGTGTTTATTTAACAAAAAGAAAAATTGGCAGAATACCTAGAGGTTCATAATACCCATCTCCTGTCAATTTTGTCAAGAGTTAGACAGTTTAATTCCATAAAGTTAGTTCCTGCAAAGCTGTCTTTTTTAGCTGTTACTTCAGTTTCTTGTATTCCAGTGTGGATTTCAACCCTAGCTTTGCTTAGGATTAAGAAGCTCTCGGCAGGCCTGAGATTTAAAATTTTTGGCTGACCTGACCAACCTTAACATTGAACTGACTGAAAATTGCTTTTTACGTAGCTTCCAAATGTTGACTTCATTCTTGAAGGACTGTGATTTGAATACAATGAAAGGCAATGTGACTGGAAGTAAATTGCATTAGCCCTAAAGGAAGTTTATTCTCTTCTTTGCTGGAAAGATACTGAATTGTTTTTATTTATCATGTATGCTGAAGGCTTTTGATCTTATGCTTGGTTAATCATTTGTTTTCTTCCCTTCTACCACTCCAGGCCATACACACCTCTGAAGGGAGCCTTTTCCACTGTGTGGTTTGACAGGTATAAGATTTCTAATGACTGTCCTGAACACATTGAAAGTATTGATTCCATGTGCCGGCAGCTTACAGACTTGATCAATGATGAGATTAAGAATGGCATTGCAAAGAACAGGATACTAATAGGTAAGAGAGATTTATTTAAATGTGTTACTTTAATGGGTTTTTTTAATTGTTAAGATATCATCTACTTTGATTCACTTTAAAAAGTACATATTTTTACTATTTTCTTTTAGCCCTTTTCAAGGATGGAAAAGTATGCTTTCCCAATATGAATTGCATTTTGGCGAGTGGAGATGTAGCATGTAAATTCTCAGGAACTTTTCCTTACTGCTCTAATAATTTTGTGTTAAATTAATTAATGGAGAAAAAATGTGCATGTTACATATCACTAAAGGTTAACACTTGATAACAAGTGAAGTATTAGCTGTCATAGTTCATATGTGTCCATCTTTGTTTGTCTTAATTTCCACAATTTTCCAGTAACTTTCACAGTTCTGAGAAATAGATAGTGGGATACTGAGTCATAGGAGCTGAGGGTGATGAAGTAGCCTACGTCAGAGGGGGGAATGAGAATTCACAAGTCCTTGGCTCCCTGTCTCATCTCTAGACCACAAACTATTTCAGGTTGGGGAAAAAACTCTTAATGTGGGAACTTATAAATTTATGGCCAGCTGAGTCATGCCATCAAAATCATGTGTGGTGGAACCACTACCATTCAGCCTACATGTTTTCTTGGTGCAGCCCCATGTTGCTCTTTGAAGGCCTGTGCTTACTTTCCCTTTCTGGCTCATTGCCCTGGCTGCAGAATGCATTGTTTTGGATGGCTGTCAGCACAACCTCTTTGATCTGTCTTTCCCATGTTATACCTGATAACTTGGAAGCAGCGGAAGAAGTGCAGGTGCATTGCTGTACAGTGAGCTGGCAGATTTTCTGTGTACAGATGCAGTGTGCTACTGGGCTTTTCTCTTTTTTCTCTAGCCTTCAAAATTAGAAATAGAGAGACTGTATGAAAGTTATTCTCCAAGTCATAAGCAGAGTAAGGAAGTTGGTATGCACTGATTGTTTCAGTTCGTAGATTCTTTGGAAGTCCCCGTCTCTGTGTGTTTGCATTCCTCATCTATAAATCAGAAATAATTATACTTGTTTTGTCAAACACTTGGGAGCTTTGTTTCCTCACCTGACAGAGACTACATGCAAACATCCTCACAGTTGAGTCCAATATTTGTGCAAGAAGCAAAATAAGACAGTCCTGAATTAGCTTTGTCCAAAGTACAGGGGGAGACCCATGTGGTTGGGTAAGAAACTTGCTAGAGGAAAATTAATTCTGTCACTTATGACTGTACAAGATTAAGTGTTCTTCCATAAGAACTTTGTGCCTTTTCTTCACTGGTATTGATAATTAACCAGTGTGTGATGCAATGGACAGTGAAGCTTAGAGGTCCTGTAAGGTCTCTATGCATAAAGGTGACATTAATCATCTTAATATGTGCAAATAATTGTCCATCTTCTGGCATTGTTTTTTACAGGAAATTAGGAGTTATGTAAGGGCGCTGTGCAGCTTTATAGCATTCAGCCTGGAGAAGAGAAGTCTCCAGAGAGACCTTATAGCACCTTCCAGTACCTAAAGGGGCCTAAAAGAAAGCTGGGGAGGGACTTTTTACCAGGGCATGTAATGATAGGACAAGGGGGAATAGCTTTAAACTGAAATAGGGTAGGTTTAGATTAGAAATTAGAAAGAAGTTCTTACTGTGGGGGGAGGTGAGATACTGGAACAGGTTGACAGAAAAGTTGTAGATGCTCCATCCCTAGAAGTGTTAAAGACCAGGTTGGATGGGGCCCTGAGCAACCCGCTCTAGTGGAAGGTGACCCTGCCCATGGCAGGGGGTTTGGAAACAGATGATCTTTAAGGTCCCTTCCCAGGCCATTCTGTGATTCTATATTCTTTTGATCAAAAGAAAATATGAGTCCAAGTCAGTATGTCTGCACCAAACTGTAAGGTACACTGGAAAAACAGAAATGGGTGGCCTGAAATTTTTCCGAATTTGGGAGATTGGTCTACAGGAGATAATAGAAAATATGGTCACTTGCTTAGAATGTCAGATAACTAAGTCCTATCAGATCTTTTTAGATTTCTCTTAAAAAAGTCAGGAATATCCATCTGGTGCAAGATGAGGCTTAAGGAAACAGGTGGGGAGCAGACAGTGGATTTGTGACTGCTGGTACCATGGAGTTGGAGGAGGCAGCCTTTGTAAGGCCTTTGTAAAGTGAAGGGAAAATAAGAAGTTTATAGCAGAGAAAACCATGATGAAATTTTGGTATGAATTCACAGTGCATTCAGTGCTGTTGAAAATAGAGACAAAATAGTTGAGAGAAGAGACTGGAGAACTTTGGAGTTTGTGAAGAGCAGCGGGGGCCTTTTCTGGTAGGTCACAGAAACCAAAGAGCAGAGCAGTTGTATGAAGGTAGTTACGGGGAATGAAATGTTTGTTAAAGGGTTAAGGAGAACTGGGTTGGGTGAGCTGTTTTGTAATAAGTGGGAGTTTTAATGAGTGGAAAGAAAACAAAATGAGTATGAGGAGGGTAACAAGATTGAAGGTTATGGTTTTATATGGAATAGCAGACTAGAAATTACAGGCTGAGGATGAGTGTCAGATATTGTTAGATGAGGGTGAGCGAGGTGTTAGGCAAGCAGGAAGGTGGGTAGCTGCTGACAGCTCAGAGGTGTGGGATAAGAAGGCAAGATCTGAGGGAACACTGTGCAAAGGTGAGTGAGTGGGAAGAGAGGGGAAGCAGGAGTGGGCTCTCAAACAGTGGAAAATGAGAAGCCCAGCACCTGGTGTTCTGGAGGATGATTCTCCTTGAGCAATTCAGACTTTCCACAAGGCTCAAGATTGTGGGACAGTAAGATCATTTGCTCTGAAAGAAATTATAGCCTGCGTTGTTTGTTTTGATAGCACAGTTAGCTCTGAAATCCACATGTGGCTGCTTGTAGGGCAGAATTCTAAAGCTGAGGATGTAGTCCAGGTTGTACAGTGCCACTTCTCTCTTTCTTTATGAAGAAAAATGTTGGTGCAGCCTTGTTTTTAACAGCTGCTGGATGAATCTACCTAAAAAGATTTAAATTACTTAATTTACTGGATGTAAATGAAGTCTTACTATTAAAACATCCATATCAATTTTCTGTAGCAACCAGCACACAGTAGTACAAGGCTCATATACCCATTCCTATTCCGTGACTATTTCATGAGTTCCTTTCCTATTAATACAAGTCTTTTAAAGGAAGCAGACTTCTGATTAAGGTTTGTTTCCCTTGACCTTAGAGGAGGAAGGAAGGGAGACTAACAGCAATATGTAATTATTCAAAAAATAATTATATCATCCCCAGAATTTGATAATGGTAGTCACCTTTTAGCCAAACATTCTTGTTGAGTTACTCTTACTGGTCTTCCTGGCTAAAGCACTTCTTGCAAATAATCCTGTAAGTAGGCTTATATTGACTTTGGAGATAAAAGAGCATTATAAATTTAGTCAAATTCTGGCAGTTGGAGCTTTGATAGTATCCCTTCTTAAAAACTTGATGTATTTCTTTTTTATAAATGCCTGAATTCATTGCTAAATTAGCCAAACAAGCAAATAACCAGTTTGAAATGTGATACAATAATTCCTTTTTCTATTTAAAACTAAGTTGGTTTTTCAGGTGGTGGTGGTTTTGCTTTGTTTTGTTTTCTTGTGTTTGGTTGTTTTGTTGGTGTTTTTTTTTAACTGCTTCCATGGTGATAGTGCACTGTAAAATAACTCCACGTAGGTGGAAAATGTCAAAGATTTCAACGATCTTATTCAAGAAGATGTTAGAAGCTCTTGAAAGAAATGGCCACCTCGTTTTTGGAGCATTTAGATAGGGCTCATTTTAGTCAACTACTTCAGTGAAAAGCAGTCTTTTTGTTCATTTTTTCTTCTTAATTTAGCACTACTTTCCTACTTTTACAGGTCACTTCTTTTGTAGCTCAGAAGTGCTGATCCAAGCGTGTTGGTCTCTGCCACCTGTAGTCATTTGTGTAAGCAGCCAGTGCAAATAAACTCTCCATAACAGTCCTGCAGGTTTGACTGTATGCCAAAAAACACATGCATGATTCCTGACCCCTTGTACTGTAACAATAACACAAGACACACAACCACTTTTTGTTTATTGCTAGACTTCTTACATAGCTACTGAACCATGGTGGAAGTAACATGAAAGCTCTGTGCTTCTTGTAAATATTAGCATTTCCATCTCTCTCAGTGTGTGTGAGAATGGGATAGGGAAGAAATATCTTTGCTTTGACATCGCAGAGAAAGAGGATTCTGTAAATATGTTAGGATAAAAAAACAAGAATAAATTGTTAAAGTGTTGAGCAAACTACTTCACCTACAGTCTTGACATTTTAATGTCTTTGGCTTCTAAGCCTTTTGCTGTCACTCACCCTACCTTCTATCTTCTGTCTTCATTAGGAAAACATTGTCTTTCATTTAGAGGTACTTACTGCTTCATTCTCACCGAGTAAATTCACAGGTTTATATTGCCTTTTTCACTGCAATTCAAATGAGATTTCTCTTTCTGTACCTCCCCTTGAGTGGCTTCGTGGTTTATCTAAATTATGCCTGAGATACTGGGCTCAAAGCAGTACTATTAGTCCATCTGCCCGGTATTACCTGCAACATTTCCTTAATTTTCAGTGAAACAGTGTAAATTTGCCTTGCATTTATACTTCAGATAAAATGTTTGCTTCTCTTGTGTTTTTTTGTATCTCAGCTGGCCATTTCTTTTTCTTTGGAGCTCTGCTACTCTAGCTTGTGCATCAGGAAGTAAAAAGAGACACTAACAAATGGATGTTTCTGTTTCCTTCATAAGTCGTTCAGTAGGAGGTACAAATGCTAATTTTAACCAGAGAGGAGGATCCACCACTGGTCACTTTGTTTCCCAGCATTTGGTGGTGTCCATATTAATGTATCTAAAAAGAGGGACTCTGAAAGGTGGCACATACTCAGTTTTGTTCTGTATTGTGAATGACAGGCTTAGGAAATGTTAGTGAAGATTAGGAGTAAATAATCAGTAAATCACAGGAGTAAATCACAGCAGCAAACCC